ACAGATTGGAGTAATTCTACATGTGTTACTCGAAAGGGGGAGGTGATGAGGTTGGTCTGAGCTCAGCATTATTTGCTGAAATGCGGAGAATGTGATTTTTTCAGTATTCCTAGTCTATCTCCAACAAACTTAGAGAGTGCGGATCAATGTCGCCCCAGCGTTATTCTCCCATTCGGGGACGAAGTAGTTGCTAATGTGGGACAAACATTTAAAATCTACTGCGCAGGTAAAGGAGAACTTTTATATTGTTGCACCATCGTCTCTCCAACAATCATCACAACACCCATTTTGTTATTTAGCATGATGTTTTATAAGATGCAGATAAAAATTTTTGAACGACATATAAGCATTAGGGTTCAACAAGTGCGAGTAATATCAATTCTAAGGTGGATCAGCGGGCGATGGAGAGCCTTTGAAAAAAAATGTATTCTCAAAAAATTTGTAGTCAGTAACAGCATTTATAAAGCTAAGATCACATGAATCTTACTCTCTTATTTAAATACAATCAAAAGCATAAAGACGAAGGCGAAAGCTTGCTAAATATCTTTGAGATAATCGAATTCTCCAAATAGAACAAATGGCCGTCTTTTTGAACATCCGTAAAACAGAACTGTTCCAGGAACTGACGAAGATGACGTAGTTAAGTGGAAAAATCCTTATGGTGAAAGTTTTTTGGCAACTCGACCAGAGGTATGGGCTTATTCTTCCTCTGTAAAACGAATCTGAAGGGCGAAATATAGTTACCTAGTAAAATGTTCAGTTCTCTACTGGACTGGAACGTCTTGATTATTTTACGACAACCCTTTTCGAACCCTTAAAAAGGCAACACCTTCGGAAACGAACGCTTGCAACAAACGAGTACTTCAGGTAATTGTTCTATAAGGACTAGTCAGTGTCTTTGAGCTGGGTTTTAGGATTGACGTGGTTCTTAAGTCGGATGCGGGCGATTATGAGTGCACCATCCAACGTGGGAAGTACTCGTTTACGAGGAAGATTCGACTTATTGTCAAAGTGCCTGACATTCAGTTGAAAGTCACCCATGTAAGCAGTGAATTTTCTGGATTTTCATTGAAAAACTGGCACATTCGTCTGTGTGAAACTGAGCAACTATAATGTAAATAGTCTTGGAGCGAGTTTGGTAGTGTTAATCGTAGTTTAGCATGAATTTTCGCACCATTTTCGAGTTAACCTCTACCAAGTTCCAATAATTTAAAAGAAAAGCTCTGGATTATGGAACTAGGAAGTAATAAACGAATGAGTAACGACTACTCTTTGGTGGATATCCCTCGTCTAG